GTTGAAGGACGTCATCTTTTTGCCATCCCATGTGTAGGCACTCACGTTATCAGGTGTTGCACTGGAAAACATGCTCAGAAAGAGCAATCCTTATATTTTGAATGGTAGAGGTCACCTTTTAGACTACCACAGAGCTCGCGATTTTAATCTTACTCTTCTAAGGTGTGTTTATCACCATTTGCAGCATTCTTGTATAAGTTCCACCCATGCTTCTTTCTTTGTCAAAGAGCAAGTGTCACTCCTGTAAAAGAGAATTGTCTCCTTAGTTGCTCTGCATAACTTCCGCCTTTTTTTTCTGCAAAGTGACTCTTCCAGATGTTGTTCACTTTGTTTAGTGATTGCCAGGCCAGTGCTGTGCGGACTTTTATGTCTCTTTCCTTAGAACATGTCCAGTTGCCAAGGTATTTGCGGCTTGCTCGCCTGTCTCTTCCACAACTGTTTGTTTACTTTTTTTACCATCAATTGTCTCTATTTCTACACTTTCAAAGTTGATATACATAACTTTGGTCTTTATTGCATTCGATATTCCCATTGCGTAAAAGTTGCCTGGCTTGCCTAATCTCGTCAAACAGAAGAACAATATCATCAGCGTAATTCAAGCCGCTCCTCTTTTCTTTCTGTGGCTTGCCACATTGCATGATCAACCGCAATGACAAATAAATATGGTGCCAAAGTCACCCAGCATAACGCCGGAAAATATCACCCCAGTTAAAAATAATCTGTTTCACCGTCAGGGGATAGAATCTTCCCTTTGATGTTGCTACATTTTAGCATGATTGCATTCGTGATTCTCTCAGGGATGTTGAACATCGCTTCATGGTTAATGGAGACGAATGCTTTACTAAAGTCAATAAGAACCATAATTGATGGTAAATGGTAATTCTTGACTCCTTCAAGGATACCTCTCAATGCCAGCACCTGCGTAATGGTAGATCGACCCGGGCGAAAGCTATTCTGGTTATTTCACAGACATGGATCTATTTTTGGGCGTAAACGATTTAATGGCACTCTGTTTATTAGGTTGGCGACTATCGATGAGTAAGCTGATCTCTCTGTCGTCGATGTCACAGTGTTTCAGTATCTCAGGCTCTCCAGGTGCTTTACTTTGGCTTATCTGCTTCTTAGCATTAAGCACTCTCTCTTCTGTGAATTCAGTCTCTGTTATTCCAAGGTTATGCAGAACAGGATGAACATTATCCAGGGTTGTGTCTTCAGCAGGGGTTCCAACTGAAGCCTACCCGAGTTTACGCGCAGCGATCGGTACGTCAGACCAAATTAACACCATGTGGAGAATGTGTGGGTAAGGTACTAGAGAGCTTTGCTCAAGTTTTGGCACGCTGTTCATCACTGGCGCAGACTAAGTACATGACCAGGCATAATGCTGCACTAATAGTGCTCTACTTTGACGGAAATGCAAAGGGACCTCAAGCTTGTCGACTCCTCTCCTCCTTGGTACTCACGAGTGGAGCTCAGCCCGTTGTACCTGTCAGACGACGCTCAAACATACTGAGATGTTCCTGTTTACGCAGAGCACACACAGGGTTGATTCGCGGTTTGTAAACCACAAGGAGATGAGTGTGGTGGCTGTAGAAATGAGCTGTCCATGATTGAACAACCGCACGAAGAAGGATACTGAGAAGACAGAGAAGTACCAAACACTGCAGTGGGAGCTTACTAGGCAATACCCCGGCTACAATATCGTGCAGCTGAACGTCATCACTGACGTTCTGTCGGAATAGTCCAAGGAGCTAGATGTCGAGATGAGTACGCTCTTTGGTGCACTGTTGCGCGATGTCCTTAAGTGGATGCAGAAAGCTGTACTGTCCAGAAACGGCGAAATATTTTGAATGAATAATTATGGCTCATATTCCATGAGGGCTAAGCCAATCAAAGCTCTAGAATTGGTTTATCCAATGATTCAGTTATTCATTAAAAATATTTCTCCGTTTATGATTGGCTCCAATCTCCCGGCGAATTCTTCATTACTAACTTTCGTTTAACATATTTGAAAGATGTGAGCAATATACCATCGATTCGATGGTATAACATGATTATGATTTACTATAGATCAACCTCGTTTCTAGACGCGGCAGCCTAGCTGTATATTCCTTGGTGAACTGATAAAAAAACGGTGTTCACGACTATCCGAAGACGAAATACTGAGCTGAATTTCCAACCGACTGAACGGAAGAAATGCAAGGCAAGATCTGCATAATTCTTCACATTCTAATCAGTCTCATTCAAAAATTCCTTATTGTACCATGCTCTCTAAATATGGTCAGTTTACGCGTAAGTTTAAGAATATACGAGAAGCGAACTCGATTTTTTTTTTTCACAAAGGAATTAGTACAACGCTAAAAAGTGCAAATTGCTTAAATTTGACCCTGAAGCATAGTATCCTATTGTTATGCATTTCCCCTCAACAATTGGAAGTTCACATCATCATTCTAAATTGATGATGTTCTGCGCAAAGCCGGAAATACCTCTGTGCTCGTAGACTTGGATGTACATTTCTTAACCAAATATCAAATGTGTTTTTATTGATCAGGACAGAGACTATAAAATCTTCATTGGAGAATTTGCTGACAGAGCAGCCGCCTTGGTTTTTTGCGAGGTGAGAAAAATAGAACTAGATAATTGTTTCCGTAAAAAAGTGAACTGGTGGTATGAAACGTGTGTGGACGTCTGGTGGTGGTGTTGGTGGTTGTGTGTGTGTGTGTGTGTGTGTGTGTGGGTGGGGGGGGGGGGGGCGGGGGGGTTCTTCCTATAATAGTGTGGTTGTGGGGGGGTGGGGAGGGGGTGGTGGGGGGGGTGGGGGGGGGGGTGGGGTGGGGGTGGGGGTGGGGGGGGTGGTGGGGGGGGGGGGGGGGGGGGGGTGGTGGGTGGGTGGGGGGGTGTGGGGGTGGGGGGGGGGGGGGGGGGGGCTCGGGGGTTCTTCCTATAATAGCCTTTACGAGGAGGTTCCGCCCAAAAGAGGTACCTTTTTCAGGTTTCAGGTGTATGAAAGGGCACGGATTTCACCAGTTAAAGTATATGAAAGCGTAGGAAAGTAAGTCCTAAGATGGCCTAAAAGGACTAAGAGATGCATTTTATGGCTATGAAAAAATTCGAGAGAGCGTTCTGGCTTTGCGATTTATTCATATTTTGAATACAGTGCTTTTACAGTAGTAAAAAGGGAGGCAAAGTTCTAAACTAGGTATGTGAAGAAGGGGTAATTGATGTCAACGTCTTTACACAATTTGAGTTAGTGTAGTTCCTTTTTGGCTGTCTTTAGAATCGTATCTTGTAAGACTCAATAAAGCGTAAAAGGTACGCCTAAATTGGTATAATTTAGGCCGTTTAAATTTTAATTTTCCGACAATAATCCCGGCCAATTTTACCCGTAAGTCACCCTTCAGGAAATTTAACAGCCATGACCAGGAGCGAATCACCCAAGAGAGTCCATTTTAAAAATGTCCTGGGATAAGGATCCTTGGTGGAGAAAAAGGCGAAAACCGTACTTACTCGATTAAACAACGAAAGTAGGATCAAAAGTGCTCTCAAATGAATGGCACACCAATCATAAGAATGCGGCGTTTATTCGACGATTATAAAAAAAACCTTTACAATTTCGGGACAGATACACCTTTGGGACGATAGTAAGGGCGCTTTCCATTTGTCAGAACTGGCCGGGCGGACCATTGCCAGACCTGTCAGTAGTATAAGGGGGTATGTGGACGAACAAAAGTGAGGGGTTAACGGGGTTTACGGGGTTAACGATGAAATCGTTATCACCAGCAAGTCAGTCAAGTCAATCTGGTCTTTGTTCTGTAACCATTTTTGCATTGTCAAGGTTAATGTCAAGAGTTAATTCTATCGAGTGAATTTCCAAAACCTAACTAAATGTCCTAAACCTAACTAATTGTCCTAGCCCTTTCTAAATGTCCTAAGCTAACACAAATGTTTACTTTAATGTTGAGGGTTAAATCCGTCGAGTTTAATGTTGAGGGCTAAAATCTTACCCTAACAAAAAATAAAATTAGCGATGTTTTCACAGGATCACGGTTGAGTGATTACAGGCAAGTTTGAGCAAGCCCATTGACATCACAGCTGCTTTTGCTGAGTCAGCAGATTTTGTTTCTATTTTTGTTCATCCTAATGTCTGGGGGTATAAAAGGGGTTAACCGCTAAGTGAAGTCATTTGATTGCAAGTTGTTGTAGTGAGCAGAGCTATCACGATGCCGAAAGTTACGTACCCTAGACACTGTCCAAAGTGTAACAAGCAGTTGAAGAATAGAATTACATTCTGTCGTCATAAGAAATATTGTGGTACTAATACAAGAGTACCATGCCTACATTGCGAAAAAACGTTTTGTCGTAAAGACAAAATGGTGGCTCACGTCAAGAAGTGTCACTCCGAAGCAGCGAAGCGGAAGGCGGAAGAAAGTGCTGAACTCTTACGTCTAGAGTTATTGAATTCTGGAAAGATACCGCGATTAGATGTTGAAGAACAGACTGGCGGAGCAGTGAGCACCCGCGGAACCAAGCGTTCAGCTGAAGATTCCAATCCTGATGTGAAGATGGCAAAGAGGGAACCCGAGAGCAGTGAAACCAAGACTGATGATGAAAAACCACTGTTTCAAGCCAACATTGCCAAGATGGGGACTCCTAAAAAATGGAAAAAAGGAAAAGTAATTGATCAGAAGTTTACATTTACTCTGGATTACATGCGTGACCCAAAAACCGAAGAAGATTTAGGTGTGGAAGCCGTTCATGCATTGACGATAGGAATGGATAATTTAATGGAAGACATGGCTATTGATACAAAAGAATATGACTTAGCGCTTCAAATTGGAAGCAAGGAACATTTTAAAGAATCCAGCAATACAGGTGAAACTTGGCATATTCCAGCAGATGATTATTTTAATCGTTTGCAAATGACACAAGCTATGCTGGGACATATTGCGAATGTCTTGAATTCAGGGGAATTTATTTCCTCGGATAGAGGCTTTTCAGCGTCCATGACTCTCATACGTCGTGATGTGAAAGGCGGAAAACGAGCAGGCTACAAGCCAGGAGCCAAAATCTGGGAAGAAGTGGTCAAAGAATTGCGCTGTGTGCATGAAATCAAAAACAAGGATGAATTATGCTGTGGCCGTGCTATAGTCGTCATGCGAGAACATGCCAAGAAAAAAGCAGGCGAAAAGAACTGTTACGAAAATATTCGCCAAGATCGAGGCAAGAACAGTCAGCAACTGAAAGAAGCCAAACAGCTATACAAAGAAGCAGGCGTGCCCGAAGGATCATGTGGGTACGAAGAAATTCAAAAATTTCAAGACTATTTGGGTCCTAAGGGTTACCAACTGATTGTCGTTGACCCAGTACGTGGCGGGGTGATATTTACTGGAGAAGCATACAAGTTTGCGCCTAAAGTGATACAGATTGTGAAAACCTATTATGAGGACAGTGATGGAAAAACAAAGGCTCATTACGATGGTGTATATAGTGTGGCAGCTGTGATGAACCGTTGCAAGTTTTGTCGTTATTGTTGCAAGGGTTACAATACAGAAGATGCCAAACACCATAATTGTTTGCATGCCAATTGCCCTAGCTGTATGCGTCGTAGGAACAAGACATCGAAGGGGTGTCTCGACTACACTGGTTGGAGTAAACCGACCATCACCTGTCGCAAATGTTGCAGGTCATTTTATGGGGAAGATTGTTACCAGGACCATTTGATTCAAAAGAAACAAACAGAAACCAAAATGGAAGCAGATTTGATCTATCAAGTAGCGTTGGATAATGACATTGTGATCCCACGTAAAGAAGCTATGAAAAGTGTGTGTGAGATGCATCGTAAATGTCAGACATGTTTGGTCTCTTACAAAGTGAAAGAAGGAGTGACCCATAAATGTGGTCACGGTCAATGTGCCAATTGCTTGAACTATGTCGACCTGTATAACCACCAATGTTTTATTATGAGTGACATTTACAAGGCAAATAAACGTTATGACAACCAACAAAAAGCAGAAGACAAGATTCTAGAAACCATCAAAGAAATGACGACTGAAGACGGGAAAAAAGTGAAAGAGGTTGCAACAAAACCTATTACGAGGAAAGAACAGGAAGAGGCCTATCTAAAAGAACATCCACCAACACAACCAGTAGACGAACAAAGTAGACAAGAGTCCATCGAGAGAGTTAAGAAACAGTTACAAGATTTGGGGGTGGATGTGACAGAGATTCCCGAGGATCAATTAGAAGAGTTTCAAGGGGATCATTACATGCTGACAGAAGGGAAGAAAGACAAACACAAAGAGCTCGTATTTGCAGACATTGAATGTTGTATTGATGACCAAAGGCAGTTTACACCAAACCTCATTTGTTTTGAACGAGAAACCTCAGACGAAAAATACCAGTGTTGGGGTAGAACATGTCTACGTGACTTTTATAACAGGCTCATGGCAATGCTAAAAGAACTAGAAAAAGAAAACAATTTGCGATGGAATCAACTAGAAATGCAAGTATACTTTCACAATTTTAGAGGATTTGATGGCGTGTTTATCATCAAGCAGCTGTATGACATGAACCTGAAAGTGTCTAAAGTGCTGATGACGGGTCAGAAGATCTTGTACTTTGAATGTGACAGACTAAAGTTCAAGGACTCTATGTCCTTTTTGAATATGCCGTTGGAGAATTTTACCAAGACGTTTGGTTTGACTGAGCTGAAGAAGGGCTACTTTCCTCATTCATTTAACAGAAAAGAAAACCAGAACTACGAAGGACCATTGCCTGACCTAAAGTATTATGAGACTAATTGCATGAACACCAAGAAAAAAGAAGCCGTGGAAAAATGGCATGCGGAGGAAATGTTGAAGGGAGAAAGCTGGAATTTTGAAAAGGAACTATTGGAGTACTGTGAAAGCGATGTCAAGTTACTGAAGGAAGGCTGTCTAACTTTTGCTGCCGATTTTGAAAAGGAGTGCAAGTTTAATCCGTTGAAAGAAAATATCACCATTGCCAGTGCCTGTCACAACTTTTGGCGGAATAACCAAATGATTCCCTACTCCATTGCTGTGGAACCACCCCATGGATGGAGTGGGATGAAACCTGCTCAAAGCAAGATTGGATTTCAGTGGCTGCATATCCAAGACCAAAAGCTGGGTGGCAATAGAATCAAGCATGCAGCGAATGGCGGGGAACAAACTCTCATGATAGAATCGTGGGGGAAAGTACGTGTAGATGGCTATGAACCCATCAAGAAAACAGTCTTCGAGTTTCACGGCTGCGAGTTTCATGGCTGCCCTAAATGTAAGCCAAACAATCGACATGTCAAAACTTGGCACCACCCAGACCGCACTGTCGAGGAAATGTATCATCTGACTCAAAAGAAAACAGAGGTGTTAAGGAAAGCTGGTTACACAGTCAAAGTGGAATGGGAATGTAACTTCAAACGAAAACTTGCAACTGATCCTGAGTTACAAGACATGATCAAAGATTTGGAATGGACGGCTCCTTTAAACCCCAAAGAAGCCTTGTTTGGAGGCCGTACTGGTGCTGCGACCCTGTACTCCAAAACGGCCGAAGATGAAGAGATCAGCTATGTGGATTACACGTCATTGTACCCATGGGTCAACAAATATGGGACTTATCCATTGGGTCACCCAACCATCATTGTCAACCCTGTAAACCAGAACATTGGCGATTACTTTGGTGTGGCAAAAGTGGATATCCTGGCTCCTGAAGGTTTGTTTCATCCCGTATTGCCTATGAAAATTGATGACAAATGTATGTTTACTTTGTGTGCTACCTGTGCCCAAGAACAATTGGAACAACCATGGCATGAAAGAACTAACCTTTGTAACCATACAGACAAGGAACGACTAATGACCGGTGTTTGGTGTACCGAGGAACTCAAAATGGCCGTACGTAAAGGCTACAAAATTTTGAAGATTCATGAGGTGTGGCATTGGAGTGAGAACGAAAGAAAGACAGGGTTGTTTGCTCCCTACGTCAACAAATTTTTGAAAGCTAAACAGGAAGCCAGTGGCTGGCCAAGTGATTGTGTAACGGACCAACAAAAGGAAGCGTACATTGCTGAGTATGAAGTACATGAAGGGATTAAGTTGGATTCAGACAAGATTGAGGTCAATCCAGGACGCAAGGCGGTAGCCAAAGTTATGTTGAACAGTTTTTGGGGCAAATTTGGCGAGGCCGACAACAAACCCACCACCAGTACCATCCAGAAAGTAGCAGATTGGGAAAAACTGATCAACGATGATACGGTCATGGTTAAAAGTGTCAATGTGTATAGTGAAGAGGTCATGGAAGTGACGACAGTAAAAAAAGAAGGCGCATGGGCTCCTAATACAAGGGGTAATATTTTTATTGCCTTGTTTACCACAGCCATAGCTAGACTCAAGTTGTATGAAGCCTTGGATGTATTGCAACAAAGAGTCCTGTATTACGATACAGACTCAGTCATCTATAAGAGCAAACACGGTCAAGACAGATTACCACTGGGCAAATTTTTAGGTCAGTTTACAGATGAGACAGGGGGAGATACCATAGAAGAGTTCGGATCAGCAGGACCGAAGTCCTACAGTTATAAGACCAATGGAGGTAAGACCGAATGCAAAAGCAAGGGGTTAAAAAACACACATGCTGTGAGACAAGTGTTGAATTGTGGGTCCATGTTGAATCACATTCAGTTGGAACTGAAAGACCCAGAAGAAAGCAAGCGTCAGTTAAAAACCACTATTTTTAATCATTTTGTCAGGAATAGTAAAGTCAAAAGCATTCATTTAGAGGATATGGTTAAAGTATTCCAAGTGAATTGGGATAAGCGTGTGGTAGAAAAAGGAACAGGGGTGACTTATCCTTATGGCTACGTTAGAATGTAACTTTTTTGCATGAGTTAAGTTTTTATTTTGTTGAAAAATAGAGCACAGTAGCTTGGAAGCGCGAGCTCTAGTTAATTTTTGGAAAAGTTTAGTTTTTCACTAGTTCGTTGTAAAATAATGGTAAGGTTTGCATGGTGGCACCAACCAATAAAGTATGTGTTGTTACAAACTACAGGTGTGGTTACTTGTGTGTGTGTGTGTGTAAAAATTCACAAAAACCCTAAACCAAAGAGAAAATTTCACCAACCCTTAACCAAAGAGAAAATTTCCCCAACCCTTAACCAAAGAGAAAATTTCCCAAACCCTAAACTAAAAGAGAAAATTTCCCTAACCCTAACCCTAACCCTAACCCTAAAACCTAACCCTAAATCCTAACCCTAAATCCTAACCCTAAAACCTAACCCTAAAACCTAACCCTAAATCCTAACCCTAACCCTAACCCTAAAACCTAACCTTAAATCCTAACCCTAACCCTAACCCTAACCCCTAACCCTAACCCTAACCCTAACTATAACCCTAAATCCTAACCCTAAATCCTAGCTCTAAATCCTACTCCTAAATCCTAACCCTAAATCCTAACCCTAACCCTAACCCTAACCCTAACCCTAAAAACTAACCCTAAAACCTAACCCTAAAAACTAACCCTAAAACCTAACCCTAATCCCCAAGGACTGGAGTTTAACCCTATCCTTATTAGCATTTTAACCCTAACCCTAATCCCCCAAGGACTAGGGTTTAACCCTATCCTTATTAGCATTTTAACCCTAACCCTAATCCCAAAGGACTAGGGTTTATTAGCATTTTAACCCTAACTAGGAGAAGGACTGGTACGAGTGTAAATAAAAATGGGATGACTCAGCATTTTTCAGAAATAAAACAAGTGTCAGTGTTAAAATAACTGTCAAAATGCAGTCGGTATCCATGCAAGATTTGGAACAAATAGCCTATTGGCAAGAAAAACGTTTTAAAAGTAAATACGGGTATAATCTGTACAACCCAGTGCTTTCAGTGGAGTTAACAGAATTCGCAGACAGAGTGGTGAGAAATAACGTAGCAGTGCAAGAAGAATTTCAGTTGGAACTCACAGTGCACCAACACAGAAAACCAGAAAAGAATGAAAATTTGTTCATGTCTATGAGTGATGGTTTATTACGAGCAGTACAACATTGGGTGACAAGTCGAAGATTTTCCATGAAAACAAGATGCTATTTGACGCTACAAGCCGTGGAACCGATAGCGCTTCCGCTTACAAAATGTTTAGGAGTGTTGACAAATATTCCAGTGTTTGCTTTCTTTCCGTGGACAGTGCCATTATCACACACAATGTTAGCCATGTTTGATTGGTTGAGCTATAATTGGTTATTGGCTAAACTGCTTTCACCCACTAATAACATGAAATTGATTATCACAGTGATTCATGAGGAACAAGTCTAATCATGGTAAGTCTCAAGAGACATTTACGCCCAGACTTGCCCATTGACGTCATTGCCCTAGAGACTTTTGATGGAGTATAACTAGGAGTTGACATTTTGGTAAAACACGATAGATTTGCAACATGCCAAAAGTAACGTATCCAAGACCCTGTCCTACCTGCGGAAAGGAATTTAGCAAAGGCTATTTCTTTATTCATAAGAAGCAATGTGGTACAGCTGAGAATCGTTATCATTGTCCATACTGCCCTCTTTCGTTTTCACAATCAAATAACAAACAGCGTCACATACGGCAGCAACATTCGAAGACTCCGCAACGTTTTACTTGCCCGAATTGTGATAAAGCATTCACAAGTAAACAAAAAATGAAACTTCATTGGGAATCTATGTGTTCTGAGGTAAAATCCTGTTACAACTGTGTGTTCTGCAACGCATCATTTACAAGACGAGACAGTTGGCAAAGACATTTGAGGCGCGTTCATAGACGTATTTGCGGGGAGCAAGACATCAATCTGTTTCTGCATTTACAACATTTAAGTGAAGACGAAGATTTCCAAAACGAATGGATGTTTGTAGAATCACGGCCCATTGAAGCAAACGAACACAAGATTTGTCCCTGTGGTCAAACGGGCATACAAGCTTACTTCTTTGTGGAAAACAAGATCAATGGAAATCGCACCTTTGTGGGTTCTAAATGTATTGAGAACATTGTTCCAAGAGTGAGTGAAGAGATTGCTTATTTCGAGTATATATTAAAGAAAGACATACATGGGACATATCAAGGAGAAAACGACGAAGGTTTGCAAAGGTTTACAGTCATGCCAAACACAGTGTTGGTTAGAGATTCAGGGGTAGTGAAACAATTAAATCCGCAAATCACCAAAACCTTAGAGAATAAACACGAAGTATTGGTGAAATATCCTAAACAAGAGACTCTGATTCAAGGACAAGCGTATGACCTACGACTGAAAGCTAAATATGTAAGAGGACAGTTAACGTTTACTGGTTTGTAAAAACCGGATGCTTTTATACGTGTCACTAGTTTTAGGAGGTCAATAAAAATCACGCAAAGTTTACAGTTGAATCAGGTGTATTTTATTTTACTGGGTGCTGTTTAATTGTTGATAGAGTTGGGCATATTTGGACTGCAACTCAGTGAGTTCCTGCATAAGCTGTGCTACAGATATTTTCTGGGGTTTTTTAGAGGTCTTGAGTAACTGAGAGCGTTCACATTCCCGTTCTTTTTTCATGGCCTGATAACTGGTTTGATCTTGTACAAGTTTCTTCTCCTCGTCCAACAACATTTGATCTAAAATGACACAATGTACTTGCTCACAGGCTGCATTGACAACTGCTTGTGACTCGGGCGAATCCATCTTAGGGTAGGGTAGTAATGATTTAAACCGTTTAGGAAATGTGCCCTTCTTGAGATGATGTCTAAACCCTCTGATGGCTTTTTCACGATACTTGATGCGGGCCTGGATGGCTTGCAATTTTTGACGATAACCTTTTAGTGTAGATTTCTTACTTTTTACTGCAGGTTCCATATTTTTCTCAGCGGGTTCCGACTGATCCCCTATGGGAGTGTTTTCTTGGACAGGATCAGAAATAGGGGGAGGATTATTTTCTTGGATAGGATCAGAGGCAAAGTCTTCGAGTGCAGACATGTTTCCCATACAAGAGGGGAGATAAAAATGAGACCTTTACGTGAAAGTGATGTCAATTTATAGTCTGAGGTGAGACCTGAAAACATAAAAGAATAGCTAGTGTGAAACTTTCATTCATTTAACACATGGTATCATGAAGATAGGACTGCATGAGGAATGGTCTCCAGTAGAGGAGCAGTGGGATCAAGAATTAGAAAACATGTGGATTACACATGAGCAAACAGAAAGAGAAATGTACCCCTGAAAACAATGAGAATCTACATTGCATGGAATTAGCATTGGATGATCCCTTGTTTCAAGTCAGTT